CCATAGCTCCAAGAGTAAAGGACCTATAAATTTTGCACCCATACTAAGTGGACCCTGAGGGTATACACCTGGGTATTATTACTTATACACGAGCGTACGCGCATGCGCATATTTCTATGAGGCAAGCTAGCGAAAAACAACATAGAAAAGAAGTGGTTCCTTATATAACAACTTCTAATATATGGAAAAGCCAACAATGGCTTTATGTCATATTTCTTAGGAACAAAAGTATAACCTCATCTTGTTGTTTAAATTGAATAATAAGTTGAACAATCCCCAAGTTTTTTTATATTACTATTTAGAGAAAGATGACGTTTCGAGCTAGCGCTCTTCGTCAGATCATACAGCTTACAACATAGGCGCATGCGCATATTTCAAAGAACTTACATGCGTAATATTTGGATTGTTGAGCATGAAAATTGTAAGCAAAATTACAAGTCGTGAAAAAATAAAGAGATAGCAATTTATATTTAAACAAAAAAGGAAAAACAGAAATATACAGGAAAGAAAAGAGTTCACTTAAACTAGATGGTTGTAGGGTCTCCAGACTGTTGAATAATCTCCTTTCCAGTCGTTCTCTTTTGTAAATGTCTGTTGGAGAATCGAAAATTCCTCAAGTATATGGTTGTTCATGGTTAAATGTTTGGTTCTGCAGTTTAATATGGTTTAGATATTCTCGTGCTCGATCACCGAGTCGGCGCCTGTTTGTCCAATATTTAAACTGTTGCATCCTTTGCAAGTTATACAGTAAATGATACATTCAGTGGTACATGTGAAGGGCTGCCTTATGTCGAAAGTTGTGTTTTGTCATCATATATGTGTGGTGCTGTTTATATGTGGGCAGATGACACATCTGTTTCGTTTACATGTGCGAGTGCCTGGAGTATCATTCACACACGTACCTACATTTCGAATCTTCCCACCCGTACAGTAACAAAAAGTCAATACCTTACAATTTCTACGACTACGCAAATTATGTAGTGATGATAATGATTATAATTATAAATCCAAAGACATGAAAACTTTCTTTTCTGAAAGACACTACCCTGGTTCTCTCATTCACGATGCAGCAACCAAAGCTAGTTCATATACCCAGGTGCAAACACTTAACCCTACCAAGAAGGAACACACCGATTGTACCAATAAGGTCTAAGACATTATACTAAACAATTACACAATACATACTGAAGACCTTACCACTAAATCTCTTTTCAAGGATCCACCCATTATTTCTTACAGACAGGTGGACACAGTCTTAAACACGGAGCCTTTTGTGTGTGTGTGTGTGTATGCGAATAAATTGCAGCCTTTCTGTTTCAATTTTGGCATACATTACGATTTTAGTGACTGGGGTGGAAGAGGGCCGGGAAACCTTGTAAGTGTAGTGAATGTTGGTATGATTTAATGAAATTAGTAAATAAGCCTAAAGTAAAGACATAATGTGAGATAACCTAGCCTGTAGCCAAGTGCATAAAAAATATCGATCCAATTTTAAACTTAAATCGTTTCTGAATTAAGTTATTTTCCG